CGCGGAGCGGCTGGGCCCGTGAGCCATGGCCGCTGAGCCTGCGCGTCCGGAGCCTGTGCTCCGCAACGGGAGAGGCCACAACGGTGAGAGGCCCGCGTACCGCAAAAAAAAAAAATGTAAGGAAAAAATCCAACAGAGATCAAATGTGGCCTGGATAGCCTACAGTTTTTACGATCTGACCCTCCATTGAAGAAGTGGTTACCATGCACAAGTGCACGAGTCGGGCTGTGGTAGGGCCTGTGATAGAGGTCTGTGCTCCCAGGGGCAAAGAGGCAGGAGAGCCGTGCAGGGCTCTAGGAGAGGTGGCAGCAGCTGTGTTGGCTCAAGAAAGTAAACAGTTGTCCCCATGCAGAAAATAAGGAAGGGTCTCCCAGGCAAATCACGAGAAAAGGAGTCCTGGGTGAGGGGCATTTTGGGATCATGGTTGAAATGAAGATCAAAAGGTAGTTGGGGCCATATTATAAAGGGTAATAATTATCATGCTCAGAGATGTATACTTTATCATACAGGAAACACGGAGGTGGGAGAGCCTGACAACATAGTTGGACAACATGAAAAAATGATATCTTCATGTCAGAAAGGAGGAGTCAGAATTATTATTTACTGAAATTAAGAGATTAAGTGGCTAAAATAATGGAGAATCAACTAAAGTTATAACAGCTAATGGGAGTGTCCAGTAAGTCTGCAAAGGTTACAAGCATGCAGACATCTATAGTTTTCTTGAGTACGCCAAGTAAGCAATTAGAAAATATAATTAAAAAAATCCATTCACAATGGCAATAAAAATTTAAAATATTAGAAATAGAATTTGTCAGAAATATTTAGTATCTAGAGAAATAAAAATAAACAATCCTAATAAGAGAGAGGATTTTTAGAAAATGGAGGGTGTACCTTGATTGATTGATGATTGATTGACTCATTCGAGAGTGATGACCCAAGAACCAGAGGCAGACCCCAGCTTCCTCACTAACTAGCTCTGAGACCCTGGGCACATTTCTTAACTTCTCTAGGCCTCAGTTTCCTTATGTCTGAAATGGGGACAATCACTACGAGAAGAAAAGTAATACATGTAAAGTGCTCAGAACGGTGCGTGGCATGTTGGAAGCAATCAAACAGCAAGCAAGTTAAAGTACAAGGAGGAGAGGAAATTCAGGAAGGAGAGGTTCAAGGTGCTGTGAGAGCTGATAAGGGGGTCGCCTAGTGGTCAGTGCCAGTCTCTGTTTAGTTCTGTGTGGTCCCCTGACCCCTCTTTTTTTTTTTTTTTAATACATTTATTTATTTACGGCTGAGTTGGGTCTTTGTTGCTGCGTGTGGGCTTTCTCTAGTTGTGGTGAGCATGGGCTACTCTTCCTTGCGGTGTGCAGGCTTCTCATTGCGGTGGCTTCTCTTGATTCGGAGCACGGGCTCTAGGTGCATGGGCTTCAGTAGTTGTGGCATGTGCACTCAGTAGTTGTGGCTCGGGGGCTCTAGAGCGCAGGCTCAGTTGTTGTGGCCCACGGGCTTAGTTGCTCCGCAGCATGTGGGATCTTCCTGGACCAGGGCTTGAACCCGTGTCCCCTGCATTGGCAGGCAGATTCTTAACCACTGTGCCACCAGGGAAGCCCGACCCCTCTGTTTAAAGCAGAGATACCCTCCATGTAGTGGGTGCTTGATTGTCACCTCAGGCAAGAAGGACACACATTGTCTATTTCCATCCTCCGCCCCAAAGGGTAAGAGTCTGAAGAGCATGAAAGATGTAAAAATTAAAAACAAATGTTAGGTTTTGGGAAGCAGTGTGGGTGGAGGCAGGCAGCCTTGTGGCCGCACAGGAGGGAGTTCTGGAGTCAGATCCCTGGGCTCAGACCTTGGGCTCCACCACTTGCCAGCTGTGCAACTTCACATGAATAACTTGTTTTTTTCACCTGTAAAATGGGGGTCGGAAGCTAGAGAGTGTGAGGACTAAAGGTGCTAATTTATGCAATATACTTACTACGATGTCTGGCACATAATAAATGCCAAATAAGTATTAGCTATGACCGTTATCACTTTTACAGATTTTGTATGTAATACAAGTTCACTAGGAACATTGTTTTCTGGGGAAAAAAATGTTTGTGAAGAAAACCTTTTTTCTGATTTTTAAATTTATTAGTTAATTATAGAAATTTGAGGGACTTCC